AAAAAAAAATAAAAAATGATTATGGTAGAGTGTCCGAGGAATGTTGATTTTGACACGTGTCGGACACGGACGTGCTGCCTTAGTTGAAATTTCTGTGTTGCAGTGGGCAGCATAATCGTGGTCTGCAGTTAAAATTAGAAAAATCTCATTCAATCTGAACTAGCACATTACAAATTCCGTTTATATTTTCATTTGATCATTACCATACAAACTAATTGTTACAAGAGTGTTCATTTTTTCTCACACACATTCTTCCGTTTTTGTGCAGGCACCGTCGGATTGTTCAGTACAAAACTGCCTATTACTCATTTTATCTTCCTGTAAGCTAAATTCTACTCCTTAAATAGGGACACAGCTAATTTGATGTATTTCGAAGAAACTTGTGTTCCTTTATCTTCTAATTTTACCTCACATGTAGCATACTTGTGAAGTAGTGAGTTTATCTTGATATTTGATTTTATTTGAGTAAACATTCACAGGTAGCCTGTGCACTTCTTATGTCCGGTGAGAATTTGGACAATCACGTTGATGTAAAGAATGTACTCGTCGAAATGGGAACTTATTTTCAAGTTCAGGTGGGAGATATTGAAATAGTTAGTCTAAGCTTAAAATGTTCGATTATGAGTTCATTATAAGGAATAAAGTAAGTTTTAAACCATATAATTTTTTTATTGGTCAAAATAGAAAATAGGTTACTTATTTTTTAGGATTATTAAGAGTTATTTATAAAATAAGTAACTTTTTTACTTTAGTAAGAGAAGTAACATATTCATAACAAATAAGTTGCTTAAACGTAACTTACCCACTTTTTAAGCTTAGCCAAACGTGATCTCTTCTAGTACTCTTCAAAATTCTGTTTGTGGGCTATAAGCTGTAAATTAAGACGAGTCCTGTGCTGTTTTTGTAGGATGATTATCTTGATTGTTTTGGGGATCCTGAGGTGATTGGTAAGGTAAATATGAGGATGCCTAAACTGCAATATTGTCAGTGCAAATATCCCAACCTTTGATCTTAAACTAGAATAGGATTTTGACCTCGATTTTGTGTATTATTAGATTGGAACAGATATTGAAGATTTCAAATGCTCTTGGTTGGTGGTGAAAGCCCTGGAACTCTGTAACGAGGAACAAAAGAAGACTCTATACGTATGTTATAAACAGAAATCTCCATTTATTTCTTGTTTTCACAGTTTATGGTGGATTTAGTTATATATGAGCTTCACTTTCAGGAGAATTACGGAAAAGAGGATCCTGCTTGTGTAGCGAAAATCAAAGAGCTTTATAACACTCTCAAACTTCAGGTTCTTTTTTCCGGCATGATTATTTGTCATAATCAAAGAGTTAAAGAAAACTTGAGCCTTGAGGGAACGTGTTCATGGTGCTAGTCTGAAGTTGGTTGTTCATCGTTTTTCATATTTATCGATATTATATTGGGGGTATTTTTGTAGGATACATATTTGGAGTACGAGAGCAAGAGTTATGAGAAGATAACCAAGTCAATTGAAGCTCAGCCGAGCAAGGAAGTGCAGGCAGTGTTGAAATCATTCTTGGCAAAGATATATAAGAGGCAGAAATAGGAACTTGACAGAAACCAGGTTAAATGAAGAGAAGCCGGAAGACACCC